GAGACTACTACTACTACCACAAAGACTACCCCTACGACCACCTCCACTCCTTGCGACACTACCACTACCACAAAGACGACCCCTACGACCACCTCCACTCCATGTGAGACTACTACTACCACAAAGACTACCCCAACGACCACCTCCACTCCATGCGAAACTACCACCAAATCTACCCCTCCTCCTACTGGATCCACCACTCCCTGCGAGACCACGACCACTGCCACCCCGACAGAGACTACTACTCCATGTGAAACTACCACTACGCCCACTACACCTCCTGCCAAACCTACCACTACCACTACCACTCTGTGCGAGACTACCACGGTTGTCCCCGTTCCCCCAGGGACAAAGACCTCCACCTCCACTACCAGCCAGACCAAGACCTCCACCAACTCGGTCACCGTCACCGCTACCGGGACTACCAGCATCCCTAACCCACCAGGCCCGACCACCTTGACCACCGCCCCTGCCCCGTGCACGACTTGCGGTGGCAAGAAGACCACTCCGCCCGTTGTGGCTCCTCAGCCCACTTCCTCCAGCCCTACGACTGTCGCTCCTCCTGGAGGACTCGCCACCGGTGCAGCCAGCAAGCTGGGCTCGTCTGTTGGCAAGGCCTTGGCTATTTGTGCAATTGCACTGTTGCTGTAAATGATCTAGGCCATGGACATGTGATGGACAGGACAGGAGGATGATAAATGAAAGGAAAGGATATTAATGTCTACTTATAATTTGATTCTAGGAGGGGGAATGTTCATATGAGCTTGGGTTTGAGCTTGGTGATATGATTGTATCTATTTATCGATTCAGTCAGATAGTAGCTAGTTACATATTCGATTCAATTCAGGAATTCTTTCCCAGAAGTCTGAAATCCCGACACTGACTGCATGCCACATACATCATCCGGAATGCACGCCAAAGCCTAAACAACACCCCCTTGTTCGACGCGCAGGTATAAACACCCTATACCAACTAGACCTTCAGCACACAAGCACAACTTTACTTGTACTCTAATTATTTGCCGGAACCCAACAGCGAAACCAAAATGTACTTCATGACCCTTACCCTGACTGCCCTGCTCACGCTCACCGCAGCAAAGAACCCAATGCCAATTGTACGCGTACCCCCTCTCCCAGTCTCCGTGCCAGGGAACTAAGTGTACCTTCACTTTCAGGTCATAATGCAATCGCAAAAAGGGCTCTCGGTCCTTAGCGGGTTACCAGGGAATTGTATCACGTATTCCGTGGGTGGGTGCGTCTACACAACCCATGCCGCATACACATGACAAAAAGTGCTACTGCTGAAGCTAATGAGGCGTAGACCTTTGAAAGAGGTGCAAATTAACATGCCTTGTCGGTTTTACGAGTGAGTGCTTCCTCCTGTGGGATTGTTGTATGCGTGCTGTGCTGATGCGGGTTGCGTGCAGTGAGATGAACTGTGCCGGGAATGGGACGGATTATTCGCCTGAAGCTGAGATTCCTGCGGGGGCTGTGGTGGAGACTGGGAGTGTGCGTTGTGGGGAGGAGTAGCAGTCTGTTGGGTTGTTCTTTAGCTGAAATGGATGAGTAGTAGAGTTGAAAGGCCTGGATATGCTGAATATCTGCATTCTTACATCCGTCTAATCAAGGCTGTTCATCATGAATCTCGTTCTCAGTCCCTGGAAGACCATCCACGCGTCCCATTTCCTCCGCTTGATGTCCTCCGCTTCGCAGACCAGGCCACAGTCGGCACAGCACGGCGGAACACTCCATGGGAAGAACCCGTTCCAGCATAGGAAGATGTGTTCGGTGTCCGAGCAAGTACCTGAGCTCGTGCTCTCCTGACTCCCGTCCTCGTCTTCACTTCCGCTGCAGGACTCCCAGTCAGAATCTGCGGATGTAGAGCCTTGCACCAGCCGGGCGACTTCGGAGACCCCCTCCGTTGCCAAAACATCCTTCATGGACAGCCCAACCCTCTCGACAGCTAAGCACCACTGGAACCAAACCCGTGGAGAACTCAGCGCAAAATCCGACGGACTGTGTCCGTACCCATCTTGCAGGTTCGGATCGCACCCCGCCTGCAGCAGGATGCCGAGCCTTGTCTCCAACGAATCCCCCTCCAACTGGCCGTGGACGGATTCGGGCCCGGAAAACGCCATCGCCAGATGCAGCGCGCCCTCGCCAAGGTGAGACGTTGCGTGCGGGTTCGCGCCCCACTGGAGAAGCTCCCGAAGCACCACGACCCCATGCCATCGTGGAATGCAGGCGTTGTACAGGAGTGGAGTGAGGCCGTCGGCATTCTCGTGCTCGATGTCACAGCCACTGCCGACTAGTAAATTGATTAAGGCGACGATCTCGTCCTCGTTGATGAGCTCGGAGCCGGGGAGGGTATGGCTGACGGTGAAATGGAGGGGGCTGCCGCCGAGAGCGACGGAGTTGATGTCGCAACCGGCGGAGATGAATAGACGGAGGATTCGGTAAAGGGTTGACTTGTGAATGGTATAGTTTGTTGCTCGGTACCAGAAGGCATTTCGTACGTCGTAGATCGCGTTTGCTCCGTCACTAGTCTTGTCAGATGCTGCTCCGGTTCGTGGACGCAGAATGGACCTACCTGCGGCAATGGTTGGGATCCGCTCCTTCATTAAGGAGGAGGTCACATATCTCGAAGCGGAGGTGTCGTGCAGCGAACTAACCGGTCAGATTGGACGACTCTGGAAAATTGGAAAACCTACAGATAAAAGGCTCTCATTTTCCGTATTTCGCACGGTGGGCGAAAATTCCCTGCTCTTCAAGAGTAACCGCAAAGAGCGTATGTCATTCGCCTCGACACATGTAAATATAGGTGATGTCGTCTCGACGATCGCGTAGGACGAGACATGCCGGGTGATTGTGGGCTTGCTCAACCCGTCATGAAGCCTCGAAAGCGAAACAAGAAGTCCATCTTCGGCCACCTGTGGATTGGGCGCCAGGAGAAGAAGAATGTCGGATGCACGGGCAGATTTCGAGTCAGCGTCTTTGGTCCACTGGACCCGAATGGAGACTTTGCCCGCGGGAGAATCTTGAAGCACAATCTGCGATGATACGATCTGTTGAGTCGGTTGTGATCTATTTCTTCCTTTGTTAAGGGAACTGCCTGCGAAATGTCGTCTACAATCACGGGTGACATTGTCACTTTGCTGGGAACTCATCTTGATGACGGCCGCGGCTTTCTCGTGGCTACTCGCAAGCAGACTCTCCAGCTCAGTTCGAACCCACTGCACATCAATGTTGGAAAGCTTCTCATGTCCCGGTTGCGGAGACGTCAACAACTGCAATGCTTCTCGGATCCTGGATTGGAGTAACATCAGAGGCAGAGCAGCGCGTTTGACATCTTCGAAGTTGTCCCAGCTGTCCATAGAGACGTCTGTCTTGTCATCTTGTTTTTCGATGCGTATCTTCATAGCTGTAAGCTGTGCCATGAGCGAGTCGATAGCCTCGAGAGAATGGGAAAACCCAGAAGGAGGTTGACTCTTCTCTGACCAAGCCGGAGGCCTGTCATCGACATTCAAGGGAGGGGGTATTTGACTACTCTCTTTGATAATTGACACAGCATCATGAATACTATCCAATCGATTGTGAACAGCAAGGTCATTGAAACTGGCCACCGTCAGCCTTAGATGCAAGCTTTGCAGGTTGATAGACCATCCTACCTTCCCAGTACCTGCAGATTCATGCTCAGCTGTCTCTTACATCTATCTAGATTCCGAAACGAACGCTCCAGCTTCCCTCCAAGCACCAATTTGACCCTTCCGCCCACCATCTTCAGCTTCTGCCTCGTACGACTGGACACAACATCGAGGTTCTTGGCCACAATGGCCGCAATATTATCATACTCTTTCTCCAGAGATTGGAGCGTCGAGTAGATATGCATAACCGGTGAGGTTTTCTGCAAGCTCATTGACGGCAGTCTTTCCTGGTACTCATCACAGTAGCGATGGACATTTTCCAGTAGGAATTCCACCTCGTGCATCTCCACCTGCAGCTGTTGGATTTCTGCGGGGACATTCTTCACGGCCGCAATGAGCTGGTATGTTTCCTTGCCGATGCGACATATTGTGTCGATGAGGCCGATGACAGCAGCGAGGTTTGCTGTGAGTGATAAAGGGTCCATGGATCCATGGGCTTTTGTGAAGTTGCAGTTTCATGTTGAGGATGGGTGGTGTGGGGTACGAGCTGAAGACCAACGAGGCTGAGCATGAGCGAGGCTGAGTCTTCGTAATCGTTGGTATAAATATCACCCACTTTCCCACTTGAGAGCAAATCGACAAGATTTCATCTCACTACTTCGATTGGAGCATACATTGCAATCAAACGCGATGGATTCTTCCATCAAATCTCAAGGCTACAATCGCTATGCTGTAGACTTCCTCTCAGCAGTGAACGGCCCCTCATCTCCGAATTACTCACATCCTCCGCCCCAGTACACTCCTCGCGATTCGTATCCCATTCCGCAGTCACTTCAGACCGCCAAGCAGAGCGAATACTATTCCAACCGACCGATGGCCACACAGGAGTCGGCGAATTCAATTCGGCAGGATGAGTACCATCACTACCGAACCAATCCCAACTTTTATCACAACCGTGATCCGCCTCTGGCAGCGGACCGAAATGCATCAATAGCAACGCAGAACGAGCACCACTGCTACAAAAACCAGCCCGAGTTTTATCACCATCGACGTGACGGTTTAAATAATGCTTCGACAGCACCTCAGGGCATACCGATGGGGATGCAAATAGCTACGGCCACTGAGAATAAACTAGGCCAAGTGGCACAGCAACGAGGCTTCTACTATGCCCGGCCACCTCTTCCAGGGAATGGCCAATTTGTCTCACCTGTATGACAAATCTAAAATCGGCGGTTTATATAACTGACGCGAATACCAGCCGGTTTCGCAGCAAGCAGCCACGGCTTCGATGCGGGATGCTTATTACCATCGCCGGGAGCAGGGGAATTTACGAAAGTAATGACGGTACATAAGGTTGTCTCTGATTGATCTGTTTATAAAAAAAAAAAAAAAAAAAAAAAAAAAAAAAAAAAGGGTATCTGGTATACCTTAATGAGCAATGGCAATATCTATCTGAAGTCTAATGACGGGAAACCGAGCTCTGGACCACGCAAGCTGTACAGACAAGGGAAGTTATCAGGGAAAGCATGCAGTGCCACCCGCAGCGAGTTATAATATCGACAACGGCCTTGTTCAGCTGCTTCATGATCACCCACACTTTAGCTCGCTGCGTCTTGCTTCTGACGATATGCATCACGCCGTCCGGACATGAGCAAGGCACGAACTTTCCGTAACTGCAGCCGCAGTAACACCTGATTAGATAGACCTGCTCCTCATACGAGCAGCGAGTCTGAGATTCATGCAAGAAGATATCAATGTTCCTGGTGCATGGCTGCCGAAAACTCCAGTATGCAGATCCACGTCTCTTAGAGACTTTTTGCTTTGCGACTAGCGATTCCCCCTACAGCCAAACGCTGTGAAGAAGGCAAATTCGGGGCGAAACGCACTCGAACTTCCAACGTATGCTTGCAGGTGACGACGAGTATGGAGTTGGCTGCCAGAAGCAGTTGGCCGTTGGGTCATTCGAGAGGTTTCGAATACGGCGCAATGCTCCACTTCAGAGCTGCACTATCTGATTAAGGGTGAGCGAGGTAAAGCTGAACTTGTCATCGTCGAGCTGCTGCATGATGTGCCAGTGGTATGAGTGCAGAGGCATCCCAGGCTATTATTGAGGACGAAGTCTCCATAGTATTAGTTGGACTTGATGCTAAGAAGTCGTAATTGGAAAATTCGGGTTGCCTCCTGCGCGGATGGATTGGTTGATGTATCAAGCAAGTCAAAATAAAGAAGCTCCAGTTCGTCGGACGGGACTTTGGTCTTAGTGAATCAATTGCGTGCTATGTATTGAAGCCACTTTTCAAGTGAGTGTCTCCGCAATCGAAAAGTACCGCTTATGCCATCAAGACACTGTAACCTGGGATCGACTGCCGCTGAAAACGCGTCCAATTGCTGGTTACAGCAAAGTTCCTCTAGGTCAACCGCCAATTTTGTCACCTCGCTGAAAGTTGCTGTATCTGTCATCTTCATCGCCATCGCCAATTAGAGCACTGTAAAGTAGAATACATACCTTCCTGTACCATTTCTCGCAGAGTATCAGACTTCAAAACGCCAGGTATCGGCAGGAAGAACAAGGTCCTTTCCAGATGACTTCGGCATATAACTTCCTCACTACTAGTTGCATCTGATGACGTCTTTGGTGATGTTATCATAACGCATCACAGTGTGCCTCTGACGATTTCTCCCATTTCTGGGGGGAAAGGCGAAGGTAACAGATCTGGACACGCATCGATCACAAGCCCCTTCGGAATCAGTGCGTCGAATGTATTATCCATGTCAACCGTAATATATCACTGGCAGGATGCGTAATAGATGGCGTGACTTTTCGTTTTGACTGTTTGTGCAGGCCGGTTGCTAGCCATGACCTGCCCTGCCCCATGTCGGGGTGATTTCGAGTGAATATATTGACTCTTGGTCAACTATGGAGGCTTGGTTTTGCCGAGTGATTAAGTTGAGTATATAGCGGATATTTAAATTGGGTTGGAGCGAGGCTGTTGATCCATCTGCTACGGACTCTACGCGAGGATTATACATCACCAGACCGGTCAAAGAGCTAAATAAACAGTCTCTATGCGTAAGAGCAAACGGGTTTAGTTTATGGGTAATGGTAAAGTCATGAGAAAGGCAGAGTTTTATCGGTACCTCATAGATGGAGGAGTTCTTATAACACAGTGAAAAGACATATATGTTAGAAGCTCTCAGTTTAGCCTATGGCAAGTGAAAATGTATCCTAACATTATATATAGTCCAGTCGCACTTTACGCGGCATCTAAAGCCTTATGATCTAGAGATATATCACAGCATGTCAATGACAGGATAAGCTATCTATGTAATATAGCCGACCTCTCATGAAAGATTATGCTCATTCTGAGTATGCTATGGTCAGCGCTGTTGTAGCGAGGTCACATAGAACCCATTGGTGAAAGCCTTTGGCCTATTCTGAACTACATATGATTTACGCCTCGATGACTACCTTATTGAGCACTGTACCCCATATCATGGCATCTCTGTATCTATGAAAAGACTATAAATGATAGTCGATATATTTTGGATTCATCAGCCAGCTGGCAAACTTGCGCGCTGCTGTAGCCCTAAAATTTAGACGACATCTCGGTGATAGATGGTCCTTTTACCCGACGACTTCTCAGTAAAGGCTGGTCGCCATCACCAGTTCGGTCGTAGTGGAGCTGCGGTGTTTCTCTGGCATCGCCCCACAGCATGATCAACGTCCTCGACTGTGTGGCAAGTTTGCCATGGTAAGTAAACATCCCCAACTAACAGCTCATTTTGCGGGGGGAACGCCAAGCACGGCTGGGGAAACCGCTGTCTTCTGTGCTTTTCCAAAAACTCAAGGTGCGAGAAGTGACTGATTATATCAGCATACTGCATGGTTCTATAGACAATAGTGAATGGGACAGAGACTCGCGGCGGGTGAAACTATGAAGCGGAGCCTGACGGTGTGAAGAGAGTTTGTAAGAAGAGCGTCAGCGCTTTGTAATTGTTCTCTAGTGGTCATCTTGGACCCGCAGACGAGACAGACCAAAGCTTAAATGATGCTAAACAGCTAAGAACTCAATAGCATTAATGCCTCATATCCGGTGAAACTAGAGACACAGGAAAAGTATCAAGGCGCATGCAGGCAGTAACGCAAGCCTGATACACAAGCACGTATGGGTACACGTGAGAAGATCGCTGTCTTGGATGTCGTTATCCGATATAAGACAAGATCAGCAGATGCCTCTGCAAGCTATACTTTGATACGCGGAGAATCTTGGACAACGGCAGTGGGCAGGCTACAGCTGCCGTCCTGAGCCGAGGAGTTTCTGCCTCTCGTACGGAGTATCTAGTAGACAGTTGATTTTCTCGCTCCAGAATCATAATGACCAATATCGAGTGATACTTCGGGCTTTCAGCTGTGCAAATCATCTCGAAAGCTAGTGCTGCGCTGATCGTCCCATATCTCTTCTGTTCTGTGTACTTCTAATCTTCCTCTAGTCTTAGCCAGGATATCACTGCCCCAGTACTACGCAGCGCGCATGCACTAGACGCACGTCTGTGGAAAGATCGGTAAGAATTCGGCCAATGTTGCCTCCCAGACTGGTACTAGGCAGACAGACTAGGCAGACAAAAGGTCTCAGACTCTCAGTACTATAATGCGAAGACTATGAATATAGCACGCGTGTCTCTACTACTTAGAGTCTGTATGATTATTGGTCCCCTGATAGTCAATTATAGATGTGTGAAGCCGATCGATATTCGATATATCCCCCGTCGTATTCTCGGATTCACGTATTCGTAACTGCCTGTAGAGAAGAAATTATACTCTGCTCCTCTCCTCTCAGTTACCGTAGTACCGTAACCATCCACAAGATGTATAGCCAGAGACCTCGATTTGAATGGTTAACTCATTTTCCCAACTTTCAAAGCAACTGCGGCAGGAAGGGCAGGGTTCAAAAGAGGAATCAGGAAGATACTTGGCTGCGGATATGTAAAGGTTGCTACGAGGAGTGGTGGTCCTCGATGGATCCTTAGCATGGATAATACGCTGGATCTACGGAGTAGTCAAGGTTCGCCCCGGAAATTCATCGCCGTCGTTGTGGTTCTCTGTGTATGTGTCCTATTGAACGAATGGAACAAAGACATTCAGCGGACCCCCCTATCTTAGCTGGTGAGAGCTGAGAAGAAGGCGAAATGGCCGCTGTCCTATCTGATAGGCCGGGATAATGGAACAATGGTAGGCCGGGCTTGCGCAAGCCAGCGTCTTAAGGTTTCACCAAGACTCATGGCGTCTTGAAGGAGGAACGTGGACCTGCAAGGATACAAGGCTGATAAGGATTTGTTTGTTTATACTCTGTACGCAATGTGAATGGACGAATGGCCAGGTTGCAGAAACCATATGCATCCTGCAATATCAGATACCCATGATCAGCACCCAGTTTTCTGGCTGCTTACGTAGAATGCTAGACAGCTGTAGGTCTAGAACGTTAGATGACAATGCAGGGCTGCACGGATGGCGGGAGATCTGGACTCCGTCTCTCTTCAGGAAAACGCATGCATCTGTTGTGCAGGTTGTTGTTTATCTTGACTCCGCAGGTATTAGTAAAACAGACTCATCTGTCCTGCAATTCCTGCAGCCTAGGCACCTACTTTTAGTCATCTCTCCCCCGTAGATAGTCACCACAGTCGTTTTCTGTCCTCTGCAGGCTTCGGTCCTCAGCTGAAGACTTCAGCCGCAGGGTACTATCCTAGTGAATCTCGCGGTTGAGGAGAACGTTTGTCCCTAGGGCTTTGTTCCACACGTCTCGGCCTATCAATTTATTCTATGGGGGAAGCACAGCCTCATCAATTTTAACTTAAACCTTTGTTTTCCAGGCTTTGCTTTAGTGTGGTCAAGTTCCAGACGCCGACAGACTGGGATAGTTGGCACCAGGATCAGGAGAGTTCTCAATGTCTAGTAAGCGAACCTATGGATCCACATATCGACATCAGGCAGAGAATATCAATTACAAAATAAAGAGGTCCTTGATATGGAAAGTTTGACACTAGTTTAGTTGGATAAAAGATGTTGGCTAAGAGTGGTTGGGCTTGTATGCACGGAAGAGGTCATCATTCCGCATTCCGGACGACTATGCGCCATGAGGTCATCTGAATAAAACGTGTTTTAGAGTTCGCTTTGCTTAATGCGCAATGCTACGAGTCTGGACTCTTGAAGCCTCCAC